CCTGTCTCACAATGTACCGTTTGTGTCCAGGAAGGGTTCATAGTTTCATAGTTGTCGATTTTCGAAAGAAATCCGTTCTTGTATATTATTTCCTATATTTTTCATTTTATTGATTTTATGGAAAGCACTGTTCATTTAAATGTTGTATCCTATGTTATAGGACTTGTTTCTCTCTACAATTTCCTGTCTCACAATGTACCGTTTGTGTCCAGGAAGGGTTCATAGTTTCATAGTTGTCGATTTTCGAAAGAAATCCGTTCTTGTATATTATTTCCTATATTTTTCATTTTATTGATTTTATGGAAAGCACTGTTCATTAAAATGTTGTATCTTATGTTATAGGACTTGTTTCTCTCTACAATTTCCTGTCTCACAATGTACCGTTTGTGTCCAGGAAGGGTTCATAGTTTCATAGTTGTCGATTTTCGAAAGAAATCAGTACTTGTATATTATTTCCTATATTTTTCATTATATTGATTTTATGGAAAGCACTGTTCATTAAAATGTTGTATCCTATGTTATAGGGCTTGTTTCTCTCTACAATTTCATGCCTCACAATGTACCGTTTGTGTCCAGGAAGGGTTCATAGTTTCATAGTTGTCGATTTTCGAAAGAAATCAGTTCTTGTATATTATTTCCTATATTTTTCATTTTATTGATGTTATGGAAAGCACTGTTCATTAAAATGTTGTATCCTATGTTATAGGACTTGTTTCTCTCTACAATTTCCTGTCTCACAATCTACCGTTTGTGTCCAGGAAGGGTTCATAGTTTCATAGTTGTCGATTTTCGAAAGAAATCAGTACATGTATATTATTACATTTATTTTTCATTTTATTGATTTTATGGAAAGCACTGTTCATTAAAATGTTGTATCCTATGTTATAGGGCTTGTTTCGGTTGTGTGGAAACTGGCATTATCATGCATCAGTATAACCTGATTTTCAATGAAAGGAGCAAATGGAACGACAACTTCTTGGAGGACATTCCTCCATATAACGATGGGTATTAAAAGCTCGATTTTCAACAATTTCAAGATTGTAAAAATATCAGTGGTTTATTTAAAAATGTGTAGCTCATAAAAGAATAAAGATAATAGGATAATTGAAAAAGGAAATGTTAGGAATACATGTAAGATTACAGGAAAGTGTAAAGCACGACATTTCATAAAAACGCCTGTTTAGAACTTAAAATAAATCGATATTATCCAATAACTCCTAAAAGATAAAGACAAAGTGCTTATGATTCAATTCGATGTGACGTCATCACTAGTGGGACTTTATATTCTTATGATTTGCCGTCGATGCAACGACAACATTATACATTTAGCTAATATTATTTTTAAAAAGGATACAAATACTTCACTTTTGATAAACATTTTACGAAGAAAAATTAGTATTATTACAAAAATATTTTAATTTTCTTAATAAAAGGGCCACCTGACAACGCTATGCTATAAATCCCGGCACGTGTCCTCTGTCATTTCGTCAGTTTCGCTAAGAAGCGTCGTGTTGTTTCTTAAAAGTTATAGATAATTCGATAAGTTTTGAGTGTTTTTAGTGTTATTGTGTGTGTAGAAAATTGTGCATAGTGTTTCAGCCATGCCTCAAATTTGTTGTGTGCCCAAATGCCGTGGAAATTACGTGGGTGAACCTAGAGTGTCGGTGTTTGCTTTCCCAAAGGATGTCGCGGTAACAGCCAAATGGTTGACAAACATACCGCGGAAAAATTTTGTGCCGAATATGTATCATAAAGTGTGTGAACGCCATTTCCCAAAAGGTAGTATAATTCGAAAAATCTCCCACGGGGTCCTAAAACAGGTAAGCTTCTTGAAGTAAATTTGCAAAGACCTCACCTGAAGGAAAATGCCGTTCCTACTATTTTTCCAAATTGCCCGATATAGTAAATATTGTTTTATATTCTTAAGTACCTAATATTTAAAAAGATCGTACAAGATTTTGAAGACAGTTTTCTCCAAGTGTTTAATAAAAAACATTCTTTTCTAATTTAGTTTTGCAATATTTAATTCAACAACTTATTAATTTCTTTAAATGGATGTGGTGAACATTCTCCAGAAGTAATTGCAAAACTTATTCTTAGTCGCATATCAAATACCCTTATAAAGAATTACTGCGGTAAAAAAAACAATACTTTAGAAAAGAGGAGGCAAAGAAAATTAAACACCCTTGTGAAATAGAATCTATATACCTAATTAGACACACTTACCTATTTTGACAAATCTATCTACCTTTGACGATCGGAAAACCGCGCCTAATTTGCGACAATGAATAGAAAAAAGTATTTGGTTTGGTTAGTTTAGTTGGTTTAGTTACTTATTTTTGTTCTTTGACGACAGATGGGTGAAATTTTACTCTGCACTGTCAATACGAGTAGTGTGATAAATCATGTTTTCTACACCCTTTAGAAGATTAAAATGTTAATAGAAATGTAATTTAATTTTTAATAAATTCTTTTAAAATTGGTTAAAAATAATTTTTATTGTCAGGTCAATGATTATATTGACTTTAAAAATAGCTTATTATAAGTCCAATTTTTGGAATAATCCAATAGTAACTATATAATTTATTAAATATTGTTCTCAACTACGAGTATTGCTTAATAATAGTTTAGGCATAAGAAAAAACTATTTACATACATCTAGAAAATAAACGGAAAACTTTAATAATGTTCAATCATAGTCAACTACTATTTTGTAAAAGTATGTATGTAAAATTATCCTTTATTACAATTTTTTTTATAAATATTTCAAATCTATACGTTAATGAGACTAACATCTATAAAGGATTTTTATTTAGAATTATGTTTAAAATATAGTAATTTCCTTTTTAATGCCTATATAATGATTAGAACGCTTGTATATATATTACTCTATGTTTTTTCTCAGGTAAGATTTCGACAGACGATGACAGAAGAAAAGCAGATGACGTCTCCATACCAATCTATTTATTTTACTACAAAAGTTTCTAATAATTTTTAATTTTGGAGTTACTTCTATCACAATTACAATATAAATCCGTCATGCGTCGTGTCTTGTTTTTTTAACCAGTTTTATTGGTTTATTAAAAAATGTAAGATCGTATTTCAATTTTATTGGTTCCATAGGAACGACCTGAACGACAAACGGACGCCGATGCGTAATTCTCGCCTTTAGATTTTTGTCATTTTTGACGCTTGTCAAAGTCTAAAATTACAATAAATAGGTTATAATTTTAGTGTCAGAAATTTGTTAAATACTATGCGTTTTGGAAGATGATGCATTTTGATTCGTATTATTACGTGTGTTTTGTGTCTTTGAAAGTCAAGTGGTTTTAAAAATTAGTGAAAATTAACTGTAGACCCAGAAACAGTTTATGGGCTAACAACTCTGCCCAGGCAGAAAGTCTTATACACCAATGAAGTTGCCATCGATAAAGTTTGTATACCATTTCGTCGTAGGTAAGTGCATCTCGTATATGGTAGAAGGATGAAACTAAACACATACTAAAAACTGGAGTAGCTGTAAAATATCGACATCACATGAGGTAAATAATGGATTTTAGAACTGCAGAAAAATAATGTCAAAAGGTGCTGGTTTAAAAATTCTTTGTTAAAGTTAATTAATCAACCTTTTTTATAAAATTTGGTAGGAAAACCGATTATTAATAAAGTAGAAAAAAGTATTTGGTTTTACCTATGTTGTTTTATTTATTCCTACAAATTTGTTATTTGACGACATAAGTTATATTGATAAATATAATCATCAATGCGGGTAGTTTGATAAAGCTTTTTACAAGTAAATAAGATTAAAATGTTAATAGAAATGTAATTTAATTTTTAATAAATTCTTTTTAAAATTGGTTAAAAATAAATAGTTCTTTTTATATTTTTTTTTTGGTATGTAGTGTCTTGTTCTTGTTTGTTTTGTATTAACACATACCGTTTTATTAAATAAAATAACTGGATTACATTTTTTAGTTTTATACAGTTTTTTTCACAATATTTCAATCATAATCAACTTGTCATCTTGTCAATCAAATTTTAAATATATCCTGTTGATATCCTGCTTGCGTTCCAGTTGTACCAACTTATTTCTTTGTAAAATAAAATAAACTACTTTGAAATTAAAATGACATACACAACTATCACTGTCTATAGGATCTTCTCGTTGGACAGACTATATATTCCCACTAGTGATGACGTCACGCCGAAGCACTTTGTCTTTATCTTTTAGGAGTTATTGTATTATCCCCCGAAGACGGTCCTGCAAATATTAGCATACAACACGCCGCGACCGCCTGTTACCGAACGAAGAATAAGAAGAAATAATCTAAAAGAAGAAGAAGAAGATAATGAAAGACAAAAAGAAGAAGAAGCGGAGGCCTGACCAAAACAAGATCGCAGATCGTGGGCCCTATCCAATGCGAAAATACAGTCCGGAGACGATCAAGCGACTATTTTTGGAGGCGCTGCTGGTCGTTTTTGGAGAGATATTCGATACAAGCGAGTCTCGGATTGAAAAGGTGATGCAGCTGTCTGAGGGTGGATTAAATATTCAGTAAGAAACGTCGGTTCGGTTGTATACAAGCGTACAACCTGAGAATTACAATTTCAGTGATACAGTTCTTCATTTTTATGACTGAAAAGACACTGAACAAACTAGTGTATAATTCATCGCGCAAAATGTTTATCTGACAAAACGACAAACGTTTTACTACTACTCGTACACTATGCAAAAAAAAACGTTTAAAATGTTATATTTTTTTATTTTAATCCTATTTCCTTGATTTTTTAGCAAACCGTATATAAATATATCAACTTCAATTCGTAAATTCAGTTTATTATAAACTGTAGTACTGGATTAATTATACAGGGTTAATCGAAGAGTTGTTTTTACTCTATCTTTAAAACACCCTGTGATTTATGTTATTTTACATTAATATTAGAAAGAAATCATTACAATATAAAAATTAATCAATATTATTATTGTTGTTATGACTTACCTTTTCTAATTCTAATAGGTGAAACCGTAACACTTGTATTGCCTGTACCATCTGTAAAAAAATAAACACATTAAATTTATACAGTCTAACACATATTATTCTTAAAATTAAGTAAGAGAAAATATCTAATAACTTATTAACAAAATGTGCAACAAGACAAATAATATTCATCAATTGGGATATCTTCTTTTTACAGTAAGAATACATCATTTTAAGTTAAATAACTCTGTTATTTACAATTATTTCTTTTAAAAAAGGTAAATACATTGTTGCAGATTGTAGATTTATAACAATACCCATTTTTAAAAAGGGAGATAAAACAGACCCAGCAAATTATAGAGGAATAACATTACTGAGCACCTCGCTAAAACTTCTGACTAAGATCATTGCGGACAAAATCTCCTCAATAGTGCCAATAAGCGAGGAACAACAAGGATTCCGAAGAAACCGATCAACTACCGATGCACTATTCATACTCAGGCAACTAGTTGAAAAATCCTTAGAATATAACTCTCCAGCCTATCTGTGTTTTATAGATTTAACAAAGGCCTTTTATAGAGTCCAACTAAAAGACATCATCACCACCTTGGAAAGCAGTAATGTCTCGAAAGAACTCACAGAACTTATCAAGGACTTAAACACAAACACAACAACCCAAATAAGAACAAACTTTACCTTAACGCAGCACCTTCGAACTACAACTGGTATTCGCCAAGGCGACAGTCTTAGCTCTCTGTTATTCAACATAATCATGGATCAAGTAATAAAAACCGTCAAGAATACTGGATTAGGATATCGAATGGGAATGCATAAAGTAAACATATTATGCTATGCCGATGACGCAGTACTTATTGCAGAGTCAGAGGACGACCTCCAAAGAATGCTACAAGCTTTTAACAGACAGGCAGAAAAACTTAACATGGAAATTTCCACAAATAAGACCAAATGCATGACCATTACAAAGGAGCCTTTACGGTGCAAATTGGTAATAAAAAACAAAACTATTGATCAGATAATGTTATTCGAATACCTCGGATGCAAAATTACAAGCTCAGGATTCCTGGAAGAAGAAGTAAGGAAACAAGCCAATAAAGCTGCCGCAATATCAGGACATCTTAAATATCCCATATGGAAAAACAAACATTTGAGTACAGAATGTAAGTCAAGAATATACAAAACCTGCATACGACCAGTGATGACATATGGTGCGGAAACCAGAGCTGAAACATCAGTAACAAAGAGAATCCTACGAACTACTGAAATGAAGACCTTAAGAATGATAACTGGACAGACATTGAGGGACAGACAGAGAAATGTAGACATAAGAGAAAAGTGCCAAACAAACGACGTTGTCAGATGGATTAGGCAGAGAAGAAGAGAATGGAACCAGCATGTCAATAGAATGAGCCCCGACAGAATGACCATAATAATTCGCAACAACGTACCCCATGGCAGAAGACCTACTGGATGACCACCTAAACGTTGGCAAGACAGTTGGCAGTCAACCTCGCAAGAGTTGCTTAGACGAGGAGGAAACCGGAACTAAACAGGCGATACGCCTTCTAAAAGAAGAAGAAGAAGAAGATGAAGATTGTAGATTGTATAGGAGACACAAAATTAATCACCAATCTTATAGATCTTTTGTGTCCTTCCTTCTTGAGCTATAACTCATCATACAGTCTCATAGCTTTGACAAAAGCCAGTATTTGAGACGGTTTTACAAAGATTAATTCACCATCTCCGATATTAGTCATACTAAAATTTAAGGCACGAATGCTTGTCGTCTCGGAGCACTCAGTGATGAGTTGTTCTGGTGTTTCCCCATTTTCCCTACAGAATCTGCATTCACCGTTGTTTCTTAGCTTCAATCTACTCAGATGTTCATTGAGGAAACAGTGTCTGTTAAAAATCCCGTGACGCGTGACGATTTCTCCATGTCTCTCGATTTTGGGCCGTCATCATCCAATTTCCAGCAATCCTCTTTACATCATCGGTCGAGCGTGTCGGTGGTCTGCCTCTGCTACGTTTATCTGCTCGAGGTCGCCATTCTAACAATCTTCTAGTCCACCTGTCTTTAGATGTTTTCGCCACATGACCTGCCCATCTCCATTTCATTCGAGTTACGTGTTCCACTATGTCTTTAATTTTGGTTTCTTGTCTGATAGTGTTATTAGGAATTTTGTCTCTTTTAGTTATTCCAAGCATGGCTCTCTCCATGGCTCTCTGGGCTACTCGTAAATTTTCTGCTGACTTTTTCGTTAATGTTACAGTTTCCGCTCCATATGTAATTACCGGCAAGACACATTGTTCATAAACTTTCCTCTTCAAGCATATGGGTATATCACTTTTAAAGGTCTCCCGCAGTTTGCCAAAAGCAGCCCAACCCAAACCTATTCTGCGCTGTATCTCGTGTGCTTGGTTGTTCTTTCCGATTTGTATTTCGTGCCCGAGATATTTGTATATATGTGTTTCTTCTATGTCGGCGTCACCTATTCTGATGTTCTGTGTCAGCACTAAGTTCGTCCTTATTTGCGTTATACTCGTATTTATCCGGAGACCGACTTTTAATGAGGCCTGCACTAATTCTTCGAGCATCTACTTTGAATCTCCGATGTTATCTGAGACAAGGACGATGTCATCTGCGAATCTGAGATGTGTCAACCTTTCACCATCGATATTTATGCCCCTATTCTCCCAAGAGAGTGATTTCATTGCGTATTCAAGGACAGCTGTAAAAAGTTTAGGCGAAATAGTATCCCCTTGTCGAACTCCTCTGCCCACCTCAATTTTATCTGTTGTCTCGTGAAGTTTTACAGTTGTGGTGGCATTACTATATATGTATTCTATAAGCCTTGTATACCTATAATCTACTCTTCCCTGCTCCAATGCTGCTATAATGCCCCTTAAAATACTAGCACTTATTTTCGTCAGACCCTGTATTAAAGTGAAATAACCGAAATAAGTAACAGAGAGGAGAACTCATTGACCAACTGGAGTGTAACAAACGGCAATTCAAATAATTTTCGTCTTCGACATCATCGACTGTCCCCCTCGGAGCACACCTACGTCTTTACACAGCGTGCCCAGCCAAAAGCGGAGGAAACAAATAAAAATAAAAGACGCCGCCCCAAGGGCAGCAATTTACGAAGGAAAACAGCGATTTGCCTAATGGTCTGTACCGCCTATTGTTTTCTCGTGATGACCGTCGAGGTTAGAAGACTCAGGTTAAAGAAGGAGATAATACAGGGATCGGTAACAATTATGTCGCTTATTGGTTCTTAGCTCGATGCGCTTTTTAGTGATTTAGTTTTGGAGAAAATACCTATATATGTTTATCAGAATTCGGTAATTTTTTTGCTGGCTGTCATATCTTGCCTAGAATAAAATGTGATGAAATTTTCACTAGTAATACCACTAGAGGTGAAATTATTTCCGGAAATTTTTTTGAGCTCATGAATATTTTGAAAATTATAATTGCTTTTTTGCATTTTTATTAACTGTTCATAAACGCTTTATTGGTATGGAATTCATAACAAGCGCGCAGCGTCAGCAAGCGTCAATCATAAAAGGCATCGTATTTTGACAGTTCAAAATATCAGAAACACTCGCGTTTTGTTGTAATAAAGAATATTGTGCAGCTTGAAAAACCAACAAAATTCTTTGTTTTAAAAATGAATCGGTTTGAAAATCATACTACATGCAAAATATGCGTGAAATTGTTTGATGTAATGATCAATCATGTGCGATGACTTATTTACCCGCATTAATTGTAAGAGGATTGTGGCTCCTACTTGAAGAAAGAAAAATTCAAAGTGCTAAATGGAAAAAAGGTGAATAAAATAGTGTCTAAATATTATATCTATATATATATATATATATATATATATATATATTTCATTAGACATAGACATTTAATTCAATCCATTCCAAGTCCTACATTTTCGCAATAAAGAAAAAAGGAGGTGCGCGAAGAATATAGAAAACATCTCAGCTTTGTAATTGAAATGTATCAAAATTATCATGTAAACAAATAAAAACCAGACTCTCAAAAAGATATTCTGTCATTATAAACGTCAACAAATTTCCAGTAAAACTCGCTGTTGGGTGCCCACAAGGAAAAAATTTTCACTAAAATTTATCCGTTGCCTTGGTGATTTGTCAAAAAACACGTTTTGATTGGTTAAAAATTACAGGTGTGGAATTTTCAGGTTTATCTTGAATATTTCAGTACCTGCAATGGTCGTTAAATGACAGAGTCGCAATAGTTTGACAAGTTTTTTTTTGATTGATAAGTAGCTGTGGAAGGAATGAAGAATAATAGTAACGAAAAGGTTCTCCTGGCATATTTTGAACATCTTTTAAAACATAGGAAGCCTTCATCACTTTGGGTATATTATTCCATGCTACGTTCAGTTATATCAGTGAAGAAAAATACATATGTATATTAGTAAGTACGTTTATTTAAATGCATTTCTAAAATAAAATCGGAAGGATTTCGGTCAAAAAAATCGAGAATTTTGAGAAAAGAAGACATAACTCGTTTTTTGTTGGAAGCTGATGATAAGACTTATTTCCTGACAAAAGTTTCATTGATAGTGGGACTTGATTTACCTTTTTTTGCCTGTCTTTTATTTTAAAACTTGCGTGTTATTATGAATTCCAAAGAATATACCTAGCTAGAAAAAGAATGGACTCTGCCATACTGAAAAATGGTCCTACAGAAGTGGCGCCATCTATTGAGTAGGGCTTGTTTTAAATGGATCGAAGCGCGGGCTTTTTAAATGAGCGTATTTATTGAATTTTACTCTAAAATAATTAAATTTGATTATTAAATCTTATTTTTTAGACAAATTCAACAATACTAATAACAAGTATCGTTGTGATGTGTAAAAAATAAGATTTAACAGTATAATTTATACAATTATTAAATAAAATTAAAGCCAAACATGTGTAAATATTATTTATTATTTAAAATTTTTATTTATAAGTCAAATATTTAAACATCGTTTATTCCAATAAAACAAGACCAACGTAATACGGCCAAAGTTTTG